GATGTGTGACTTACTGTGGTCGTGTCGAGGGTGTCAAGTTTTACCCTAAATGAAATCAGTAGCCGCAAGTGCACAGCTGATCGATTGTAGTACTTAGGGATCGAATCCACAAGGAAGGAGGATCTTTCCTGAAAAAGCCCTCGAAAGAAATATAAAGTAAGGAAGTCTAGAACCAGACAAGTTTTGTGAGGGTTTTGGTGGTTTGTTTAAAACGTAAAAACTAATCTTAAAGAGAAAATATGGGAATTAAAATGACCTAATAACTAAACTTAACGAAAACGACTAAAAACGGGAAAATGGCTAAACCTAATTTCTTTAATGAAAATCGATTGAAAGAGTAAATATACTAGACTAAAGTTTGAATAAAAATCGGTGTAAATCTATAGAAACGAAGGCGCTGGGGTTCAGGGAAGTTTTCTCAGGGGTATGAACGATTCAAAACATTGCTAAAGAGTAAATTTGATAAGATCTTAGCTTAAACTTTTCGAACTAGAGTCACGGACGTATGAATACGCCACTGTCGTGATCATAGACAACTATCTCTCTCAACCCTGAACAGTAGGTTTCCACTCTGGCCTGGAAAAGAAGATATGCATTATGTTTAAGACTCGTCAGCATTCACAAATCGCCCATAAGTAGGTTTCCACTCCTATGTTTGTTTTGCTCTCCCAAACTAGATCTGACACCGGATGAACACTTTCGTGTCACCAAGCATCTGGATCAGATTGTAGTTCATGATGCTACTCTCATGCAGTAAAAACGAATTCAGAAGAAAAAGCTCTAAGATTCGGCTCAATAGCTCATGGAATCCTCATCGAACACATATATCCCCATCGAAAATCCCTTAGACCCAACAATAAAACTACTCAGACATGATGAACGAAATCAAAAACATAGTATTAAAAAGTAGAACAAAAACCGAAATTGAAAAAGAAAGAACAAGGGTTCAAGAGATAGATCTCTCTCTCCCTAAAACCTAAAAACAAAGCTTAAATTAAAATTTCTGTAAAGTATTTCGTCTCCCTTCTTCCCTTCTTAAAAACGACCTAAATGATATGTATTTATAGTCTCCAATACTCTCTGGTGTCTAGGGTTCCGGAATTGTGGCTGGGAAAATGATACGGGCTTCAGAAATGGCCCTTCAAACTCGGAGTTGCCTAGCTGCGGTCGGGATGTGCGTGACCGCAGGGAATGGATGGCTGGCTGCGGTCGGGTTGGTTGTGACCGCGGCAATTGGCCTGTTGGCCGCGGGTGGAAACGCTTGTCGGCTGGTTTACGGGACATCTTGCTCTTCGCGTATCTTTTGACTGAACCGTTGGATTGCCAAGCTGTAAAGTGTGCTGGAAAGCTGATACTTCCATCTTCGAGATCTCAAAATTTGAGCTGGATCAGACGGTGAGAAGTCCTTCAATCGGGGGTGAACTTCTGACGGTTTGACTCTTAGCTAAAAATCTGGTCTTCTATCCATTTTGTTAAGTTTTTCTCTAAGTTTCCTGAAAAGAGTCTTGGAACTACAAATACTATAAAAACGTAATAAAAGTACTTGAAAGCAATTAAAAATATAGAAAAGGTATTTCAAAATGATCAATAAAAGTGGTCAAAATACGGTGTTATCATATGCCCAGCCTAAGTCGAGTTCTGGTTCCTCAAAGGAAGGCTCGCTGAAGCTGAAATGTCATTTTCTGCAAACAAAGACGCAAACCAATCAAATACAAACTTGGCACAAACATAAATGCCAAACTACAACCATATACACAATGTAAACAATGACAAAAACGAATCACCAGTTTAAATCCGAGAAACCACAATCACTATCATCTAGCAATCACAATGAAGTTCAAACATATAAAAGATAGACACTCAATCAAATAAGCGGATACCTTGTTCACAAACTGATAAACTCAAGTAATCCCAAAACTGGAAATCAGCAAAAATCATAACTCCGAAATCACCAAACACATATACATGGAATTGGATAGACCTACATATGGAATCGCAGAAGACAATGTTATCGAATCCCTAAACCCTATTTCATTCAAAGCCAAAATCCCAAATTCCCCAAAATTTCGAAACCCTAAATTTCTATCAAAATCAACACAAATTTATGCAAATATTATATGGATTCGCAAACACATAGATATGGAATCGCAAAGACATACATATTGAATCGCAAAAACACTTTAATCCAATCCCTAACCCTAATTTCATTCAATCCCAAAATCCCCAATTTCCTCAAAAAACGTGAAACCCTAATTTCTATCAACATCAACACAAATTTAATCAAAAATTAACCGAACAACGATCCCTAATACATACCGTGAATATCCGAGCGGAGAAGCCTTGTCGATTTTGCTGTTCAACTCGCCGATTTGCTCGTGACGATTCGGTGGGAGTGAAAGAAAAAAATGTCCTAGAAAAATTTTGTTTGCTCGATACGAACAAGGAGAAAGGGTCGGGGTAATTTTTTCTCTTCGTCGGTCAATCAAATTGAGACACGTGCGTGTTGAACCTGCTTCTCAATGGGTTCTTTGGGTCCTTCCTAACGAACCGATCCTTCCACAAAACGGGCTTTTTCCATTTAAAAAAAATACAAAAAAACCCAACGAACCCCACCTATAAACTCCTCTAGAACCCGCGGTGGAGATGCCCTTAACCTCACCAAACATAGTTTTGCTCACGAGGTTGTGGGTTTATTTTAGGTATCATGAAAGATCACTTCTAACAAGCATTTTAAATATGTGCAAGCTTACTTGGTCTAATAATTGATCAAATATTTTATTAATGATTCTACACCAAAAAGTATGAGGTTTAATTTACAGAGTATACAATTAATATCTGCAGACTAATAAACAAAAACTTATAAAAAAAATTTAATGTGATGTTATTTGTCATGGTTTCTAATGGAATGGGTAATATTGTCCATTATAAATTTTTCTTTGTAGTAATTCTTATAATTTGTATCAATATTAAAAAAACAAGTATTTTATATACAACATGTGTTTAGATTTTTTTTAAAACTATATATATACTGTAATATGAAATATTCAATTCTATAAGAAGGAAAAAAAAAAAAAAAAAAACAGAAAGATGAAAAGTGTTTCATCAAGCATCTGCTTATCGTGTCTGACTATTTTCTTGAGTCTTGACCTTAAATATGCAAACCTAACTTTTTTTTGTCCAAAAAGTAAAAAAAAAATCATCAAACTCTCTATCTGATATTATATTATTTATCTATTCAGACCTATAGTTGGTAATATTTTATACATTTGTTTTGTTAAAACATATTGGGATAGTAGATTGTAATTAACCAAAAGAGATCCATGTCTAGGGATTCTTTCTTTTTATTTTTTAATAAAAAACACTTCACTAAAGGTTTCGGAAAATGTTGCAATAATGGTCAAGATAGCCTCTGGAAGAACAAAAAAGGATTTGTCTTCTGAGGACTATAAAGAGAGACAAGGTCCAAGAGAAGGTAAGGGTTCTTGTTCTGAACCTTATCTGAAAGTAATTTAATGCGCAATCTGATATTTTTGAGAGGTTTGACGAACAAAATTCGTCCTCAAAGAGAAGTTTGAGCTCTTCGATGAGCAGGCAATATAAAAAATGATCAGATTTTAGAGAGGAAGATACTTTCTTGAGGTATCCTGGATTCCTGGTGGGTTGACGTTTTATCATCCTCTTCTTTTTGTATTGTATGATCTTTTTGTCGGCCTTGTTCATCTTATCTTATCGAGTGACTGTGTATTTTTTTCTTCTTTCTCTTATCTATTTTTGTTTTCTGTCCCCTTCTTCTTCTAATGAAATGAAAGGGTCTTTATCGACTATGTTTGGTAAATCTTTAATCGGGCTGGCATGGTTGATCCGTCCTGTCATATTTCTTGAGGATGTGTCAGAGAAAGTGATTAAAGTGTATATATCTATAGGATTTTTTTATGTTTGGTGGAGTAGTAGATGGCATAGCAGATGAGCTCTTTTGTTAGTACCAAAACACTCGAATGCTGAGACTATGCTTGAGTGTCATAGGAATGATGGTAAGGAGATTAGGTCTCATGCCGGCACTGATCATGGGATGAGTCAGACCGCTTTCTAGCGCTGGGAGACGAGTCTTTCGTCCAAAAGATAGTGGACCCTAATGTCTTGACAAGGCCGAAGCATGATTTATCCACATGTTACTTTAACAACTAATAATTCTTTTTTTTTTGGTCGTAACAACTAATAATTCAATACGTAACTATTTTACATGGTTTTTCTTGATACATGAATAGTGAAAGTTAAATTCTATTGTAGTTAAATTTTTTTTTTCAAAAGTATATTAAAAGACAAAACAAAATGACTACAAATGTTATTAAGAGAATGATAACATGCCATTTCGAAAATCAATTTAAATAGTATTATTTAGATTACTCTTTTGTTTTTACAAAACTAAACTATATTCATGTACACTGTAATTCAATTTCAGATATTTAAAGTAATTTGACTGGAGACTGTTTCGGTAAATCCTTTTAATATTCAAAAAATTATAACTCATATTTTAACCAAAATCTTCAACATTCTGTAAAACATGGATGATTGAAAACATTTTTACTAACATAAACACAAAATTATGAGATAAAAAATATTTTTGAGTTTCAATATAACCAATTTTGCGATATAAATATTCCAAAATTCACTATTTTTTAAGAGAAAATGTTTTTCAAAATGATGCATTATGTTTTGTCTCTTCATTAAAAGATTACCAAAAACATTAAAAATACTAAATTTAAATCCTTAAAAAAAAAAAAAGAACAACTCCATAACAAATAGTCAAAGCTGATGATGTTACATTCATAAAATTATATTCTTTCGGTTTGGCTTTCCATATTGGGGTCTTAATAAATTAGTTGTTGTTAACAATTAGTCAAATAACATATCCTACGACCGTATAGTATCTAAATTAAAATTGCATCCACATATTCAATTATATATCTCAATGGTTTTGAACAATTCGGTTTCATAAGAACACAGAAACAAAACAAATCAAAACAGAAAGATCAAAATGAATTCATCAAGCAAATGCTTTTTCTTTGCGGTCTTGTGTTTGCCGATTCTCTTAAATATAAGTATGCAAAGTCAAATCGATTTTTCTTTTCTATTTGATATTCTAATATTTACCCATTCATACTTTTACTGAGACATATTATTTACATTTTTGTGCTTAAGTGTATACGTTCGTTGATGTTGGGATATTGTACTGTAAGTTTGTAACTAACCAAACAATCCATGTTTTTAAATAACTCACTAATTTGTTTTGAAATTTTCAACTCAGATCTTGCAGAAGCTGAAGATAGGAGTAATCTAATTCCTATAGGTCCTTGCGCAAAGATTTCGAATTGCAATCAGACTTGCATTGCATCACAATTTATAGGCGGAAAATGCATCAAATGGTATCCTGACTCCATTAAAGAAACATCTGCATGCTTTGTAAAACCTTCTACATCGCCTGTTAAAGAAAATGATTTATAACTGTTAAGAATTTTCGATAAAAGTTTTTAAAATGTTGCAAAAAAATACTTTCAATAAATTTTTATTAGTTTGTGGTAATTCTATTAATGCAGAACAATTAATCAAGAAAATTTTATTTGATGCAAATAACAAATGTATTCTGATTTATATTTTAATCTAAATGTAGACCGTTATTGAGCAATGTAGACATGTTCGCAATCATAATTATTAACAAATAGAGAAAATTACCTAGAATGATCTAAAAATAACAACAGTTAAGGGATAACTCTTGTAAATTTTTATGAGTAATATAACCTACTATTTTTTTTGTTTTGGTCGAAATATAACCTACTTATGATTTACTTTTTCTTCTGTGACTTCGTTCAATTCTTTTTTTTTCCCCCAAAGGGCTTTCAACTTCTTTCAATTCTTATATAAGAGTTTCAACCATTATCTTCTCTGAATTCAATTTATGTTGTTCGCTCTAATGTAACAATATGTCTTTCTCATTAACGATATATTCAGTTATTCTCATTTGTGATTTTAGCAAAGCTTATTTTTGCTATGTAGTTATTGGTTTTAATTATCAGATTGACCATATAATTGAACTATTTCATATTTGATGGAAGTATAAGTTGATGAAAAAAGAGAGGAACGAACCTTAGGCTTTGTCTCGATGCTTGAATATCTAACATCTGTTTTTTTTTTTCTTTTTTTTTTGCCGTCTGAATATTTTATTAAGCAAGGTGTTAAAACCTGAGTTATACAAAAGGGATCGAGGCAAATCATCAAAAGCCAATACCGATAGAGAGATTACAAAAAAAACAAAAGATCTCTCTTCTTCAAACCGAGCACAAAGCCAATTCCGAGTACTTGCAGCTACATACGGTCCTCAGCCGTAACACTTCGAGCAATTAAGGAAGCACATCTATTTGATTCTTGTGCTTCTATCTCAATTCGCCAATCAGATAAACTAGTTAGAGACTTAATTAAAGCAGTCGAGTGGAACCTGAAAGAAGGCCAAGCAGGTGGACGTAACACAACTCCAATCAGATCAGGACCATCAGAGGCAAAGACCACCTTAGAAACCTTCAAATTGCCATACTCTCAGATGCCCACAAAAAACTATAGTATTTGGCAGCAATTAAACTATCAATAAAACTGAAAGCTCTTCTTCCATGGAAAATATCGATACCATTTACATCCCTGATAGACTTGATCAAGATGACATCATCATTATAAAATAAATCATCAAGTTTGACATTGTTCCAGCGCTGTGTCGAGGTATCGATGAGATCACATACCATAAGATTCAGGTCGGTGATTATGTTTCTCATAAGAGGAGCTTGCTTCCTTTCATCTTGAATCCATGGATCAATCCAAACTCTCAAAGAACAGCCATTACCCACCATTTGTTTGAGACCCTTACGAAGCAATTCTCTGCCATGTAGAATGCTTCTCCAGCCATAAGAAGGACGAGAACCCGAGTCGGAGGAAAGAAACTCTTCTTGATCGAAGTAACTATTTTTCATCACTAAAGAGAAGAAACAGGTGGGGTTCTGAAGAATCCTTCAAGCTTGCTTAGCTAGAAGAGCCTGGTTGAAAGTTTCATATTCTCGGAAACCCAGACCCCCAAGGCTTTTAGGGAGGCAAAGCTTTTCCCAGCTAATCCAGTGAATGTTCCCCTTATCTTCAAGAGAGCTCCACCAAAAGTCTGACATGGCACTAGTGAGATTGGCGAGAGAGGTTTTAGGCAGGCGGAAGCAAGACATAGCATAGATCGGCATCGCCATTGCTACTGCTTTGAGCAGGAATTCTTTACCACCTTGGGAAAGTTGCCTAGAAAACCAACCTGAGATTCTAGCCTTCATCTTATCTTTGATGTAAGCAAGCAATTCAACCTTTGATCCACTGAAGCATTCTGGAAGACCAAGGTAGGTACTAGCTCCACCTTCAGCAAATATTCCAAGCTTCTCCTTCACCAAGATACGGCAATCCTCATCAAATTAGCTGCCAAAAGTGTTTGAAGATTTGCTCAAGTTGATGATTTTCTCAGTTGCTTCACCATAGAATTGAAGAATCCCTTGGATACACTCACATTGATATTCATCAGCCTTACACATAAATAAGCTGTCATCTGCGAATAGCAGGTGGGGAATTGCCGGACCAGAAGCAGAGAATCTGATTACTTCAATCTGACCCGATTGCTCAGCTATGTTTAACATGTGATTCAGACCCTCGGTATACAGCACAAAAAGGAAAGGAGACAAAGGGTCTCCCTGCCTTAATCCTCTCTTAGGAACAACCAGACCATGCTCATTCCCATTGATGAGGACTGTGTAGGTTACTGTCTTTACACAGAACAGAACCCAATCAATCCATTTTCATGAAAACCCAGACTCGATAGCAAGGCACAAAGATAATCCCATTCATCTCTGTCAAACACCTTTAACATATCAGTCTTCACCACCATGAATTCCTTAGCAATTCTCGGGAATGTCCTAAGCCCATACACCACCTCATAAACAATTAAGATGTTATTTGAGATGAGCCTCTCAGCAACAAAAGTCGATTGCGTTGGAGATATGATATCAGGCAAGAACGGTTGGAGCCTTGACACCATGATCTTTGACACAATTTTGTAAGATACCGAGCAGAGACTGATCAGACGCAGGTCTGGCATCGAGAGTGCGTTGGTAATCTTCGGAATGAGGCAAAGCTGCGTGTGATTCCATTCTTCAGGAAAGAAACCTTCATCAAAGAATTTAATAACTTCTGAAGAAACCTGATCACCAATAATGTCCCAGTAGTGCTAAAAAAAGAGACCTGTCATACCATCTGCTCTAGGAGGACTCGAAGGCTTGATTGAGAATACAGCCTGCTTTACTTCCTCTTTTGTGACCTTTTTAATCAACTGATCATTCATAGACTCAGTGATTTTCAGCTCAAAACCAGAGAAGATCTCTTGAAAATTGCTCGGATGAGAAGATCTAAAGAGATTTCTGAAGTAAGAAGCAGCCACATCACCCTTAGCAGCTTCTGATCTTTGGACAATACCATTCTCATCCGTGAGCTTATCCAAGACATTTCTTGCTCTAGAACTCTTCACAGAGGTATGGAAGAAAGATGTATTTGGGTCACCAACAACACACCATTTATCTCGAGATTTATGTCGCCAGAACAACTCCTCATCTTTATAATCCTCACACAGCTCCCTCTTATGCTGATTCAAACAAAAAATCGAGGGAGGATTAGAAGATTGCTCCTTTTCCAGATCAGATTGCAACGCTTGGATCCTATCCTGGGAGTTTGAAGGATTAGATTTCTTCCATTTGCTAAGCGCCTTCCTACATCTTCGTAGACGATCAGCCACTTTCCCACTTCGATTTCCCATAGAGTTATTCTAGGTATTTTCCACAGCTTCATTGACCAGAGGCTTGTTCAGCAGCCTTCTATCAAACCTAAAGCAACCCTTATAAAATTCTTGAGATGACATCAGCTTTACCAGAACAGGCCTGTGATCAGACCCTCTCTAAGCTAAAAAAGTTTGGTTTGACACAGAGAATTACTGAAGCCAAGCTTGGTTTCCGAAGCACATATGAAGCCTACATTGGACATATGTATCACCTCTCGAACCTCCCCAAGTGAGACCATTTCCATGTCTCGGAAACTCAGACATATTGCAGGCGCTGAGCCTATTAGAAAAAAGAACAAAAGAAGCATGACTTTTACTAAGACCACCCACCCACCTTCTCAGCATTACTCAGGATTTCGTTAAAATCCCTAAGCATACACCAACATTTATTTCTTTGGATCTCAATTCGCGACAGCCTTTCCCATACCAGAGAATGCAAAGAAGAGTTAGGATCACCATATACACACGTCACAAAGAAAGACAACAAGCCAAACTGTACACGCAGATCCACTATGTTCTTATTTACAAACAAGACCTCAACGTCGACTCCTTTCTTCCAGAACACGGGCCAAACCGCCAGATCTACCGATTGGGTTAACTGTACAAACCATATCATATCCTAACCATTCTTGAAGGTCAACTAAAACATTCCTACTGTGCATAGTCTCCATCAGAATCAAAATCTCAGGGAAGTGTTCTTTACGCAATTCCTTGAGACGTTGAATTTTCAAACCTTAAGGTCGCCCCAAACCTTGACAATTCCATCTCAAAAGACTCATTGTGCATTGGACAGTCCCTCCTTTGGGACTATCTCATTTTGGATGTGTTTAGCAACTTTCAAAGAAGCATCAGTCTCATCTGTGACTTTTCTTTTCTTTGTGACCCTAGCCAAGTCTTTTTCCTTTCCCTTAGCTGAAGCTACCGAGGTGGGCATCCTTGTCTTTCTAACTTGGAAGGTCTTCTCCTTGATTTCGTTTTCATCAGGTTAATCCCGGATGAGCTAGCCTCCGAGAAGGGTGTTCTGAAAACCGTCGGACAAACCTGAGAAAATTGACTCAGACCAAGATAGTCAGAAGACACTCCATCAAAGTTGAAGTTAAGATCATTTCTTCGAGGCATTCCAGCAGCTATCGCAGAAATCATCAGCTTCTAATTGTTTCCCTGCATCTCAGGTTCTTCATGACACATTGTTTGCTTGCTATAGTCAACCACAATTTTTCTCTTTATTAACATTCTTTGAGACCACTAGAATCGGCTCAAGACTCAGCAACGACTTTTGAGCAAACAAATCCCCTTCAATGTCAGCCAAAGAAGACCTGATTCTTGCCTCCCTAGTGACTCTTTCATCTCCATTAGCAACCAACAGGTATTGCCTCATACCATATAGAACCTCTTTAGCAATTCTAGGCCTTTCGTTTGCAGGATTCAAAACTACTTGCCTTTTTTCAATGACTCCAAAGAGAGGGTTATCTTCTTTTAAGAATTTAATATCCGAAGAGATTGAAAGCGCAGCGAAGCCCTTCTTTGGAGAACTTTTTCGTTTGCTTCTTTAACAGCTTTAAAAGACAAACTTCTTGGTGATGAGTGAGGCGCTGGGAGCAGTAACACTTTTTCTGAATTCTTTCAAAATCATATAAAACCATTGCAGACCCACCACCAGGGAGATTGACCACTTTCAAAAGTCTGATAGGACGGGAAACATCAAACAGAACACTCACCCTGACAAAGCCGAGACTCTGGCTTTTGGTCGGATCAAAAGCAACTTCAATGACCTTACCAACAAGGTCTCCCAGCGCTGTGATGGCCTTACTAGTATAGTAATTAACCGGTATCTGACGAAGCTGGATCCAGACTGGGATGAACTGAAGATAGTCAGCAGGGGGTTTCGCCATCCAGCAGTCAATAGCAAGAGCCCACTCGTTGTACGTATGGACTCCTTTTTTCAGAATCATTTCAATCTCATGCTCATACTAGAAAATGAACTGAAACCTTTCCTTAGATAAGACTATCCCTCGAACTCTATCATAAAGCTGCCATTTGCGAGGCATATCAAGGATACGACTCACCATCTTTTGACACTCCGGGTTTGACAGCCTACCTATTATACTCTGAACGTTATCTTCAGATGAACAGTAATCCAAAAGATCTGGCATATCGAACGGAATCTCTTCTTCCTCCATCGACAGAGTCATCATCGCATGGTCCATACTGGCCGACATTGAACCGAACAGAAGTGAAACACGAGAACAAGAACTTGAAGCTAAAGATCCAAAATCCAGAAAAGTGGTGAACAAAGTTAAGAGAAACACTAATTTTCAAGATAGATCTGAGCGAAAAGGTAGAAAAAGCAGGAAAAGAGCTTTTGAAACACAGAAATAGGAAAGTTATTCCCGATATTAAGCCTTATCTTCAACTAAAGTGAACCCTCTAATTGATAAGGAGACTAATAAGCCCAACAAAAGGGACACAGATATTTTCACCTACGACTACTTCAATTTGAATTTTTATCTAACATCTGTTCATGCGAAAAAGATTTCTATTTTGAAATATTTATGGTTTTTTTCTGACATCCAAATTGCCACCTTATTAAGTTTACGGAAATAAACTCTTTTTTCAGTAAAAAGTAGTCAGGAACGATCGAACTTAGATGAAAAAAAAGCAAACTTATTTGTGTATTCTTATATTTTTCACACAGCAATTGATTGCGATTTGTAAACGGGTATTGGTTCGTTCTCGTTTTACTAAGCTTCAGGTTTTAAATTTATAACCCCTAAATGTCTGCAAGTGCACATATGTGCGCTGTAGTACTTAGGGTATCGATCCATAGAGACTAAGTTGTTTCAGTACGAATTCACGGCAAAGCTTAAATCAGACTACAACTAAACAGATTTGGGTTTTGGTTCTGGGTTTTGGTTGTCACGAAATCTAAACTATAAAGCTAAACAAGTAAAATCAATTAAAAAAGAAAGCAGGTAAAGCAAATAAAAAGCGATTAACAAAGGCGAATTGAAGCAAGTAAATAGCGATTGAAAAGCAAATAGAATTGAAGGTTGTAAGCAATGAAAAACAAATGTTGGGGCTCAAGGGGTTTCGCAGGGATTCATGGACTAGGCTATGTCGATTTTAAACAAGTGATAAAGGTAATCAACTACATATGTTCTAGAACTCGAGGCACGAAAGTATGAATAGCCTACTTTCGCAGCACCAAACAACTATCTCTCGCAACTCTGATCAGTAGGTTTCCACTCTGATCCTGGAAGGGAGAAGATGCAATAGCAGAACAAGACTCATCAACATTCACAACTCAACTACAGATAGGTTTCCACTCCTGTAGAATTATTGCTCGTTTCACCTTAGTTCAGACAATCAATGAAAACTTTCGCAACATATCATATCAGATCGGCATCTAAGTGGTCAACAAAGAATCACGCAGTAAGATTAAAGGCAAACGAAGAACATCTAGAAGATTAATAATCCTAAATCTATCGATTCATAAGCAAAGACACATGAAATTCCCTTTGAACAATCCCTTTAAACCCAACTGGGTAACTACTCAAACATATTGTAACAAAGCATCATAGAGTATTGAAAGTGCAGGAAATTAAAGAAAACGGGGAAGAAGAACGAAGAACGGAGAAGCAGATGGAGGCACGATGTCTTCCTCCAGCGGCCGCTCCTCCTTCAAAAACGGCGGCCTCCCTCTCTAGGGTTTGAGTCTCACACGAAAAGATTGGGTTTTTCAGGTGATATAAATATCTAGGGTTCTAGAGCTAGACTGCGGTGGTATGACTACGTCACTCTTGTGATCATAACCAACTGTCACTCACGACCCTGACCAATAGCTTTTGACTCTGTCCCCGGCTACAAGTGTACGCAATAGCTTGCACAAGTCTCGTCTGTACTCACGACCGACCATAGCTAGCTTTCGTAACCTATGGCAGAATCGCTCATTTCATTCTAGGTCAGATACTTAATGAAAACTCTAGCAACACTAAACATCTAGACTAGGCGCTAGGTAATCAATCAAGCATACATGCCTTAAGAACAAGAATAAACGAAGAACATAAATAAAGTCCCAAATCTAAAACCCTAGATGTTTTAATCGATTATGAGAGCCTTTTTTCAGAAACCCTATGCCCAACTTGGGATCTACTCAGATATGGCTGAGGTCGACATCATCATTGGTTTTAATGAAAGCAATTAATAACAGTAAAGAAAAAAGATAAAGAAAAGCTTCTCTATTGATGAATCCAATGTTGAGAAATCTTCTCTACAAATCGCTAAAAATGGCTAAGAAGTTGTCTTTGTCTAAAGCATGAAAGAGATATATAAAAATTACCTAATTGACAAGCATTTATAATCTTCAATACTCTAGGACGTCTAAAGCTTCAGAATTAAGGTTGGAAAATGACTTGGGCTTCAGAATTTGGCTTTTTGATTCAGAGAAGGCTGGCCGGGGTTGCGTGAGGCATGATCGTGGGAAAGGAAGGCCTGGCCGCGGTGAATGGTAGGCTGGCTGCGGTCATGTGGCTTCAAGGCAGTCTTCAATTGTCTCTGGGGAAAATAGAATATCTTGAAATCCAACCGTTGAAATGTCTCCAAACCAATTGCATTTCGAAAGTTGGTTGAATCTTCTGTTAAGTATCCAATTTTGGGGATGATCAGATGGTGAGAAGGTCTTCGTCTCTCCTTAAGAGTTCTGACGGTCTGAATTTATTCAAAAATACTCTTTTGTTCCAATGTGCACCTATTTCTCTCAAGTTACCTGAAAAGTTTTGTAAAATTCAAAAACATATAAATCTTTGAAAACCTTTAAAAAAGAGTAAAAAAACACTTGAAAAAGATATTAAAATAATCCATAAAAATTGTCAAAAATCGGTGTTATCACATATGTTTTTATTTAGGGTAATTTCTTCCAAAGGGAAAAAGTTCTTGGGGACAGACTAACTTTTATCGTTTTGTCTCAAAATCGATTAGAGCATTTGACATATAATATTGGATCTCTTATCATATAGTCTCTTCGGAAAGGCGAGCCGGATTATATAGAATCCATAGTTCTGACTTTACACATAGTTCAGACTTTACACATGTTCTGAAGTCTGATCCTATTATTTTTCAGATACCTCAGTTCAGCAATGGCACTGCTATGATATTCTGTTAGACATACGATAGCCGATTTGAAACTTGAAATTCTAGAGGGCTGCAATATTTGAAAGATCTAGCACCAGCCTTATTTAGGAATCAAGAACCTGAAAAGCTCCATAATTGTTTTGTAAAATAGGTACTATTGAGTTCTTCCCGTGTTCTAAAGCCTAGATTGCCATTAACTAATTGAGTATATAGCATATCCCACCTTATTCAATGTATGCCTCAATTATTTGACTTAGACCTCCACCAAAAATTTGTTATTTCTCTACTCAGGTTCGAGCAAATTACTTTTGAAAGAAGATAACAAGACATCACATATGTTGGAAGAACTTGATCAAGACTACTTTCCCACCCTTGGAAATTTATTTTTGAGGACTATAAATTAACTATATTATGGAGCACGTATCTAACAAAGGCGAAAGCTTTAGTTTTGGAGTCATGTATTTTTCTTTTTGGAGGCCCAAATATGTACACCTTCCTCGTTCTTGGCTAGTGCCCACTGTAGCTTTTGATCTCAGTTTGTATATGGTTCGAAACATCATTGCCAAAAATAATATATGATTTGGAAAAATTACCTCTTGGCATGATGTCATACCATATAAACAAATAATTTCTATGATCTCTTTATCATCAGCGAATAGGTGGTGAAATGATTTGTTCTTGCAATCTGGAGTTCTTAGATCCTTCCTCTCACTTCTGTTTAACGGAGAAGTGCAATAAGAGCTTCCGAATACAAGATGAAAATATATAGGGAGATGAAATCACTTTGTCAGATACCTCGAGTTGGTTTTATCTGGCCTTTGAGTGAACCAATGATATCAAAAAAACTGAAGATGCATAAATCCTCAGATCTCCATGATCTCAAAACAGTTGGAGATGGTATGGTCAAAGGCACATGATAACATCATATTTTGACCATTTTTATGGATCATTTTTAAATACTTTTCAATGATTTTTATTTCTTCTAAGTGTTTTTATTGTGTTTTTCTAGTATTTGTAATTTCAAGACTCTTTTCAGAAAACTTAGGAAAAAGCTTAGCAAAATGGATAAAAGACTAGATTCACAGCTTAGAGTCAAACCATCAGAATTTCACCCTCAAATAAAGACTTTCTCACAGTCTGATCCAGCTCAAATTTGGAGACCTTAAAGAGGGAACAAACAGCTTTCGAGCACACCAGACACCAAGACAATTCAATCTTTTAATCAAAAGTTATGCGAAGAGCAAGATGTCCCGTTAACCAGCCGGCAAGCAATCCTGACCGCGGCCAGCACCCAGTTTACACCGGTCACGTCTCTTCTGACAACGAAGATTGGTCTGTTTGGCCTAGAAACCCATTTCCAAGCCCAAATCGATTCTTTCATTTGGAAAAACCCTAAGTGACGTCCAGAAATAGCTTAAGCACTATAAATACATGTTTTAGGAACCCTAAGTCGTATCTTCTTTTATTCTCTTTTATGTTTTAGAATACCTTTTAAGTTTTTAGTTGTTTAGGGAGATAGAGATCTATCTCTTGAAACCTTTTTGTTTCTTCTTCATATCGATTTCAATACAGCTTTTCAATACAATTTTTTTGCTTTCTTTAATCATGTCTGAGTAGTTTTATTGTTGGGTTTAAAGGAATTTTTGATGATAACTATATATGTTTGATGAGGGTTCCATTAGCTATTAAAGCTGAATCCTAGAACTTTTTCTTCTAAACTTTTTTTTAATGCATGAGAGTAGCGTCATGAAATATAATGTAATTTAAATTCGTATTGTTGCGAAAATTTTCATTAGGAGCCAGATCTAGTTTTAGAAGAGCAATCCTGCCATAGGAGTGGAAACCTATGTATGGATGAGTTGTGAATGTTGACGAGTCTTAAGCAAGCTTGCATATTTTCCCTCACAGGGCCAGATTGGAAATCTACTGGTCAGTGTTGCGAGAGATAGCTAGTTATGATCACAAGAGTGATGTAGTCATACGTTTATAAAATTTTTAGCTAGGATCTTTTAAATTACTTTTTGGCAATGTTTTGAATCGTCCATCGCAAGAGATAATTTTCCTGAAAATCCAGCGTCTCGCTTTTATT